GCTTCGCTTCTTCCCTGTGCTCCTCAGAGCAGAAAAGGGAAGTTTTAATTTTCTATTTGGCTTTTTAAAAGTTTTTTTTAATAGATGGACCAAATAAGGTTGCTATACCATGTGGATGCAAAGATTGCACCGCATTGCATATGGGAGCTCTACCAACTCAATTTAGCCCACATTATCCTGACCCAAATAAGCAATATAGCCAAGCCCCAAATTGGAAACATTTCTTTTTCTAAAAAAAATACACAGCTCATCAAAGGGTTCTACAAGTTCAGAACATTCTCCGGAATAGTAATAAACAAGTAGAAATTATCAGCTAATTTAAGTCCATCTTCCTGTATGTTTCTGAGCAAAAGAGATAAGATAGCAGGAATAAATCTGCTTATGAGCAGCAGCTTGTTTGCTGAAACTTACATCACTTTATTTGCTGATATAGTAGATCTAACAGGCTCATCAAATTCTGTGATGAGGTAATCAAATCACATATAGCCCTATTGCTTTGCTTGAACAGGCAAGACTACTGATATATTAGCTTCTGATAGTGCTTTCCTGCCAAAAGACCAGATCTGTTTAGGTGAGTGATATCACATCTGGCCTTTAAGCAGTTTCCAGGTGATAGAATCAGAACTTTTAACGCTTTGTTGTTTAGTCGTTAAGTCGTGTCCAACTCTTCATGACCCCTTGGACCAGAGCACGCCAGGCCCTCCTGTCTTCCAATGCCTCCCGGAGTTGGGTCAAATTCATGTTGGTAGCTTTGGTGATACTGGAAAATAAATAATTCAAGAAATCTGAGAAATTTTTTCACCCTGCTTATTTCCAAAAGGGCAACTCTGTGAATATGTAACACCAACTCTATACAGCATGATGTGTAGGCATCATTCAGTCTCTAGAGCAGTAATGGCGAACCTAAAGCATGTGTGCCACAGCTGGCACACAGAGCCCTCTCTTTGGGTACATGAGCCTTAAGTCGCCATAGAGAAATACTTACCCGTCCTTCGATCCTGGATTTCGGCACTCCCTACTGCTGCTGCAGTGGCCCAGCAGAGGGGTGCAATGGCGACCATTACCAATCTAACCCAATGGCAGATTGGAGGACCAGTAAGTATTTTTTAATCCCGCTGATAGCAAACAAACAAGCATTTAACCCTTGTAGTGCAGGAGCAGTTATTTTTTCTAATACCGCCCATATCAAACAAACAAACAAACATTTAACCCTTGCAGTGCAGGAGCAGTTGTTTTTTCTAAACTAAAACGTCAATATTCGGGTTTTAATTGCAGTATTGGCACTATGAAATAAATAAGTTGATTTTGTGTTGCAGTTTGGGCACTTAGGCTCAAAAAGGTTCACCATCACTGGGTTGGACTATAAACTTTTTTGAAGTGGCCAAATTTTCTCCCCACTTGTAGTCTGCAAGGAAGTGTCCATGGGGTGCTCGTGGTCTTGATGATGAAGATGAGGCTTGCCAGGTCTCAGAGAATGAGCTGCTGTGCCAGGAAATGGCTTCAGCTCCCCTTAATATTCAGGCCAGGCAAACAAATGCGAGGAGCCATGGCAGAAGGGAAGGAATGAGTATCGTTTATTGTTATGGGGTGGCCATAGTGTTTGGGTACCCATCTCCAACCCTCTCGGAATGGCACCAGGGCTCACTGGCTTCCTGTGTCTGTCCAACACGACACATTATATACTTGCTGAGGAGCTCAGACAGGGAACCCACAATGCCTAGCTCACTCGCTCACACATGCATGGAGAAATATGTTCCCAATTCATGTGACATCACAGGGCCCCACACCATGACTTCACAAAGACCCACCTCAGGCATTGGGCCCCAGATATAATGAGGGGATGGGGAAGATAATGCCATGACAGCCCCTGACAAACAAGACAACACTTCAAAACCATTCCAGAAAAATACTTTTATTGGTTTTGGAAAAGAGGCTAAATGGGTATCCTCATTGGAGGCAATGGCCTCGTTCAGCTCCAGCAGGATGCCTGCCTTCTGCTCCCTCACATCCCTCTGGGAAAGAGGAAGCTTTGGGCCCTGCAACAGAAAGAGAGAAAGAGAAACAACTAAGCGGCGAGATCGTCCATGGCCGTCAAATGGCTTCAACCCAGGTGTATCCACTAACCAATGTTCTGGCAACTTCATCCCGAAGTTCCGCCTGCCAGCATCCACTGGCCTCCACCAGGAATAGCCACCCACTCATCTCTTCCACTCCGCTTCTGAAGCCAGCCTCCGCCAGCTCCTGAATGCCTGGGTCACAATCATGCCCCGGCGACATCCCCACGGAACGCCAGCCAGCCCATTCACACACACATTCTTACACACACAGGCACAAACCAGCCGCCCCCCCGACACACACACACCTTCACTCCACCAGCCATTTACACACACGTCCGGGCTTCCATCCACCGATATCCACCAAGCTTCCCAAGCTGGTTTCAGGAGGCTAACGTCCACCACGGCTTCATCCGCCAACCTCTGCCAGCCTGCGCCTTGAGGCCTCAGCCAGCTTCCACAGGCAGATTCCACCAGCTTCTGTCTGCCAATGTCTACCGACTTCCCTCCCCCGGTCCATCGCCAACATCAGCCAGCTTCAAGCCACAGGATCTCTGCCAGCCTCATGCTGTTAACTCCCAAGTCCACTTAGCAAGTTCCTCTGCTTTTGGGAGAGACCTTGCCTTGGGCAGAAGGGCTGGGCCCCCCCCAGCCACTGCCACTCTCTCTGCCGCACTGCCCTCTGGCCACAGGCCTCCCTTCTGGTCTCCTGCCCTGCCCAACAACCCCTTTTTATCTGCCAGCAGAGAGGTGGGGCCCCTGTGAGGTGACAAAGACCCAGGAGAAAAGGGGTTGGGTTCCCAAGGCAGCAGCAGCAGCACCTTTGGGATTGGCTGAGTCCTGAAGATGATGTCATTTGATTCACCCACAAAAATTTGCATTTTACATGATTTTTTAAAAAAATGTATTAGTGGCCTATAAATGTATCATGTCTCCAGTCCCTCTGATTGTTAAATCTCCCCGTGTTGGATTGTAGGCTGGTGTTCCAAAAAGTTATCTTCCAGCATTTGCATGAAAAGGAACTTCTGTAAGCCCTGAGCAAGGGGGAAAATGAAAGTAATAAATGAATAAGGATGGGCACAGTCACACAATGCAGCCTTTGATCCTTTTGGGGGTTTTGGTGTGTGGTGTTTTTTTCCCCTTTGGCCTCTTTTTGGACATTTTTTTCTTGCCCTTGCCATGAAAAAGCTATTATAAGGAGCCCGTTAAGAAAAAAAACCTACGTGTTTGAAATACATCACCACTTGCCAAGGTAACTGGTTCCAATGTCATACAACTCTAACAGTTAAGAAGTATTTCTCTATATTCAGCCTAAATCCGGCTTCCTGTAATTTGGGCCTTTTATCATGTTTCTTGAAGTCTGGGATGAGTGAGAACAGATCCTGCCTCTCCTCAGTACAATTGCCTTTCAGGTATTTAAAAAGTGCTATCATATCTGCCCTCCGTCCCCTATTCTCAAGGCTAAACATTTTCAGATCTTTCAGCATTTCCTCATAGGGCTTGGTTTCCAGTCTCCTGGTCATCCTTAGGTGAGTAGAAACCATCATCCTGGACATGACTACAACAGAACTCTTCCAAATGTTGAAAAAGAGAAAACACCTTGTGGTCTGGTGGGAGACGAGTGAGCAGAGTGAAAATCTGAATTAGCCCCAGGATAGACCTGCAAGGGGGGAAAGTGAGGTGGGAGACAAAAGAAAGAGAAGAGAGAAAGAAAAAGGGTAATTGTTGGGAATTCCGGAGGAGGAAAAAAGAATCACAACAGCTGAGTGGAGAGGAAGACTGGGTCACTGGACGGGTCTATGGGTAGATGAGCCAAGAACATGTATGCCTCAGGAGATGAGAAGAAGCAGCGGGAAGCATGAGAGATTTGAGGGCTCCTAAATCATGCAAGGAGGAGCACGGGTGCTACTTTTGAATTAAAATGAAATATGCAGGCAACAACAGCAGCAACAACAAAATAGAGCAGACTAGAAAATAACTGATAAAGGAGGAAAGCACAATTAATTCTAAATACAGTGGTGCCTCACTTAGCGATGTTAATCCGTGCAGCAAAAATCGCTGCTAAGCGATTTCATTGCTAAGCGATTTTAAAAAGCCCATAGAAATGCATTGAAACTCCTTCAATGCGTTCCTATGGGCTAAAAACTAACCTTAAAGCGAAGATCCTCCATAGGGGCGGCCATTTTCGGTGCCTCTAAAGCGAGGCAAAACAGCGGGTGGCCATTTTGTTTTTCTGGTGGCCATTTTGAAACCGCCGATCAGCTGTGTGAAAATGGGGGCTTTGCAATGATTGCTTCCCTGCAAAGCAAATTTCCCCATAGGGACTATCGCAAAGCGATCGCTCTTGTGATGGCAAAAAGTCCATTGCAAAGCGATTTTATCGCTATACCGAGCGATCGCTATGCGAGGCACCACTGTATTTTAAAGATGGCGAAGGTATGGGGGAGGAGGCATGAACTACTGGAAGCATTGCAGGGGTGCTTCTGTTCTCCCCTCAGTTTTAGCCTTCCAGTGGACAAGCTAAATCCCTAAACAACACTACTCTTTGACTCTTAGTAGATAATGATTAAATTTGGAAAGTAAGGAAAAACCTACCAATGATTAATAAGAGTCTGGACAATAAATTAATACAAGTGGCTGTGCTTTGCATGCCTGTATTTTCATTATAGCTGATCTTGCAGGCAGAAGGCCCAACTGTCTTGTTCCTGGGGCTCAATACTTGAGGAAAATTCACACTGACCAATTTGCTGGAAGAACCTGCTTTGTTGCTAGACATTTGCAAACCTAAACATGTCTCCTCAGAGTCCAACTGAGCTGAATGGAACATGCTGCTAGGTAAGCAGGCACAGGAGTGTGCTTCTGGATCAGGCCTTTTATACCACTGCAAACAACAGTCATGAAAACATGTATTCTCAGTATAACAGTTATGAATGATGCACAGGTCAGGATTTTGCCCACTGAAGCAAGAATATAGGAAGCTTCTCCGTCTAGTAAGTCAACAGAAAATTCAGTGCCTTAGGCCACAATGAAAACGAAAAACACAACTAGGGCTCTCAAATTGAGAGAAATCAAGGCTTGCATTCATAGACACCTGAACCACTAGGACAGTGATGGCGAACCTAAGGCACGCGTGCCACAGCTGGCACACAGAGCCCTCTCTGTGGGCACAGGAGCCATAAATCGCCATAGAGAAATACTTATCTGTCATCCGATCCTGGATTTTGGCATTCCCCTCTGCTGCTGCAGTGGTCCAGCAGAAGGGTGCTATGGCAACAATTACCAATCTAGCCCAATGGCAGATTGGAGGACCAGTAAGTATTTGTTAATCCCGCCCATAGCAAAGAAACAAGCATTTAACCCTTGCAGTGCAGGAGCAGTTGTTTTTTTCCCTAAACTAAAACTTCAGCATTCGGGTTTTAATTGCAATATTGGCACTCTGAAATAAATAAGTTGATTTTGTGTTGCAATTTGGGCACTTGGGTTCAAAAAAGTTCACCATCACTGCTCTAAAGACTATGGTAACATGCTCTGCATAGAGGTCTTGGAACAGCATCTAGTGTGGCTGAGAAGGCCAATTTGAGAGCGACAATTCCTTCCACACTGAAGAAAAATACAATCTATTCCCTGTCCAGCTCCCTGATTTTGCTGCTTTTGGG